TCTACAATTTTTGATAATTTTTGGATACGCTATATAGAATAGAAATAAGAGTGATGTTTTGAAAGCTTTTTCGACATTTACCTAAGAATATTTTGCGAAATATTATGAAATGCTTTTAGCTTCATAAAGCTTTATAAAATATTTTTTATAAATATCTTATTTTTGATATTCTCTCGCGATATAAAAGTAAACTTCGTCGAGAGATTGTCTCACACAATTTTTCAATCCGAGAAACATTATTTTAACGAATTATTTGAAAAATTAATATATGTACATACATCTCTAATTGTGAGTATCTTCGCAACACGTTTCAAGGTGTAATTAAAACCGCAGAGGGATGGTTGCGGTCGTGCTCTTGTGTTCCTGCAACGCGCACTTCCTCGAGATACGCTTTCGCTTACGGTCGAGGCTTTCGGCGCGTGAACACTGCCGGAATCTTATCGCGCGCCTCGGACTCTGGGATGCGCGCTGCATCGTCTTCCGGTTCGCGCCGCTCTCTCGCTCGTTCATTCATACGAATTAACGGACCCTCGTAAATTGTACGCGACGAGCGGCGCGGCGCGTCCGCCGCAATTAAGCGCGATTGTGCGGCCCAGAGAGTCGTTCGTTCGTCATCGCGAGCGCAATGAATTCGTGTCATGCCAGAAGATGTCGGCCGGATTAGGCCGCGAGCCGAATTGAGAGAATGACCGAATGCGCGCACGGCTTCGCCGTTGTCTACCGCGCGACAAATTGAAATTAACCGAGGAATTACCGCGCCACCGCCGCCACCGCCGGTCGCCTAGCCGCTCGTCTCGCCGTCTCGGAAATTTTTTTTTGACCGGACCATAAATTGTAGTTCGTCACGCGGTGACTGATGCGCTAAGTTTTCCTAATCTGTAACATGTCTGGAGAAATTTGGAATTTTTTTTTCTCACTGTGCGATGAGATAAGGTAGACAGACTCAGGACAGGGTGCGTCACCGTTATTGCTTTTGTTAACGAACTTGAATTCGGAGTAAATTTTTTTTCTCGGTAGCAAATTTGTCCTAATCAAGGAATTTCTTGTTATTGAAACTTAGAGATAAGGTAACTAGCTACAAACCGGCGACAAAATTCTTTCCTGCCATTTAACGTTAATTCGACAACATACGTTTTAATTCGAAGTCACGAATTAAAATGTTTGTAAATATTAAAACATTTATATTAAAAACATATTTTTAATTATTGTATTTTAGTGTAGTTTCTTTTAATGTAGTTTAATGTTAAAATAATTCAATATAAAATAGTACAAGGGCTACGTTTCTTTTAATTATTTAAATAATTGTAATGTCTAATAATCTCTAATCTAAATTTTTACTGACTATAGATATCTTTTATGTTTTAGGAGCAGTTCTCTTGGACAGCAAAGAGGCAAAACTAATACAAGGTAAGAATAGAATAAAATGTATTTATGATGTCGAGATGAAGCTCGGCTGGCTGACACGCGTTACATCACACTGACAACATCTCGGTGGTAAATATCTCAATAAAAATTGTAAAAGTGTAGAACAGATTTGCAACGGGTTATCAAGAACATTTGCGGTTTTTTATCGGGTTGATGTTTTTCACCGACTATCGGTTTACAAGTGTAAATACGAAAATAGTGGATCTGCGTCTAATAATAACTTTTCGACGCACCCTGCATAGTTGAAAATAGCAGAAAAAACAAATAGCAGAATTCCTCTGGAAACTACTGAGACAATTTTAAACTAGATTATAAATTTTTTTTTAAATTTTGGTTTTCGTTCTTTTAAAAATATTAAATTGTTTGAATTACAAGAATGACGAGACAGAATACAATCATAGAAAGATTACAACATCGCAATGTAATTTTTAAATTTAAAAACAGTGCTCACATGGCATAATTATGATATAATTATCATGAGAAAGAACTTTCTCCTGAAGTCATGCTTTAATTTATTCTTGAAGATGAAGATTATTCCACATTATATGCAATTCCGTTTTATGTGTATATGCACATACCGTGTTATTTTTAAGTCGTGTGTGTGTACTTTCGTACATCTTAAGATTAGGTAATTAGGATTAATTATACATTTTTCACAGTGTAAATCGCGTAATAATCCTATAATTCTCATTAGTGTTCTCATTACCGAAAAAAGAATAGACTTTTTTTATAACATTCATTAATCAAAATTTAATTAAATACCCTGCAAATCCAAAGCGTGCAAAAAAATGCCTCATCCGTATAAAAATAACACATTTAAATGTGTAAATTTATATTTTTATATAATCCGATATAACATGTTATTTTTACACGGACGAGGCACTTTTTACACACTTTGGATTTGCAGTAATATGAATCCGTATAGCTAAAAATATATTTGGCAGTTCGAATAATTATTTTGGCCATATTAACGCTAACAAGTATCCGATACTGAGAGCCAACCCACTGTCAATACTCACGAATATCGAGTTGTAGATTTTGTCGTAGAAAGCGATGGGTGTTTTGAGGAGAGCCTCGGCGGATATCAGCATTCCATTGCTATCGGTTTCGAGGACATTGTTACCCGGTCCCGTGTACTGGTATAGCTCCCGTTTGGATAGGGCTGCGGTGAAGGGCGCGATTAGGGCCAGCACGAGGGCCAGCGTGCCCAGCAGAACGCTCCAGCGTGCTGCGCCGTGAGCCATTCTCTCAGACTGCCTTAACGCTACTGCTGTTACTGACTTGGCCACGACGTCTCTTCTTGCTGCCCCCTAATCGCCTTTGCCCGCCGCCGCTACTCCGCGACCGGCGTGGCCGCCCGCCGTTGTTCCGAGTACATGAAACGCCACGCTCGCTTCCCGCGCCCGATGATAATTTCGTGACACCGCACCGATCCCTACCCCCGATTCCGCTACTAATAGGCTAATGTGCAATCGAGTGTATCTCGAATGTAACTCTTCAGCTCCTCTCTCCCTCGCTCTCTTACTATCTATATGAACTGTCCGTATCGTACGATGACCACTTGATGCGGTGATGCGCAGGTTCCTGCCATAAATGAGCATGCAGAATATCGGAGCAAATTGACAGATTTGGTAAATTTTTTTGTTTTTCCGTATATACTTATAAAAAAGAATATTGTATTAAATGATTTAATTTATATTCGATTGTGAAAAGTCTTTGAAAACTTCAATTCTGTTGGGGAACAAGCAATATCCATGCAATTATACGGAAAATCTCAGAAAGCGGAGGTATTGAATGAAAATAATTAGTTTACGCGATCATACACGCACGGTTTATTTAAATATATTTGTACAATTCAATAGGAATGGTTTTCAATTTTCTGAATAAATATAAAGGACGAGATCGGTCCGATTAGCGTTCCATTTTTTACAGATCTAATTTTTTTTTATCTTAATAATTGTATTTACAAAAGTATTTATTTAAAATACTTATACGCAAAATATTATCTTTGCTATATCATATTTATGGATATGCGCATGAAATCTCATAGCTGAAAAACATCTTTAACATTCGAATCAGTAATAGTTCATAATGAGACGATAAAAGTGTGATTTTAGTAATAGATTCGTAAATCACGCGACGCGTGTGCGCGATCAAATTGCACGTGTGCGTGTGTGAGGCGTATCGTTCGCGCGGTATCGTAGCAGCGTGCTTATGTCACGTATTCTCTTTGCATGTGAAACCGCCGTTGATTCAATTGTATTTTCGAACGATCCATTCAAATGCCGAGGTCTCGCGATTACGCGATGCGTATATTGTAATCAGCAATTTTAAGGATTTAATTGCGACCATAATCGTATTTTATCTGCGATAAGAGCATAATTGAGCTCGAAGGTTACTCATCCCGCGACTAAATTGCCTGATATTACTGACAGCAGTGATTTTCAAGCATCGCTTTGTCTTAATTGTATATCGTCTTTTGACATTGGCAGATTTCATAAATCTTCGTTTGCTCGAAGCTATAAACTTCAGAATCTCTTATTGTAATTTGATTTTTTAATGCAATTAAGGGGGTTTTTACCTTTGCCAGCCGTAAAATTAGCCCTTATGAATTTTTTGAAGAAAATCTATTATATAGGTACAGTAAAACGTGGGTTTTTGCATAAACTTATATATTATTTAAACAGCAAAAAAAATTTTTTTATTTATATAAAAACGTATTTTAATGTCTCCAAGTGGAGATTGAATGTGGCATGTTTTTCGAGCTGACGGAAATAATTACGATAAAACGAATTAAGATATCGACTTGATTCTTTTTTCCTCTTGGCGTGAACTAAAATGATGTCAATTACCTGAAATTTTTAAAAATGGTAGCATTTGAAAAAAAATTTTATTTTGCCCTAAAAATTTAAAAAATTTTTGTTAATAACAAATTGAATGTTTGTTGTAAAATCATGATTTTAGTTCACCCATGCGTTAAAGTATTAGAATCAAGAGGAAAAAAGAATCAAATCAATATCTTAATTCGTTTTTTCTTAGTTACTTCCGTTTGCAGCTCGAAAAACATGCCACATTCAATCGCCACTTGGAGGCATTAAAATACTTAATTTTTAATTAAAATAATTTTTATATAAATAAAAATTATATTTTTGCTGTTCAAATAATATATAAATTTATGCAAAAACCCGCGTTTTACTGCATATATAAAAGATTTTCTTAAAAAATTCATGAAACAAGGGCTAATTTTACGGCCGGCAAAGGTGAAACTCCCCTTAATCCCAACTTAATGTTGTGCATTATAGAAACATGAGCCTTGAGCGGAATTGTTTGCGCCCTATATCATCCTAATCTTATCATTATTTAAAAAAAATGCGATCACTTATTGCAATAACCGGTCAGCTTGTTGCCCATCGTCCATTATGGCAAATTGACGTTTAACCGTCGCATTGAATTTTGATAGAGCCCCTCGTCTTTCATCCGTGTTGCATTATTATGCTCGCTCATCCGTCACGCAATTTCTCCGAGACGGTACGCGATTCATCTTGAACGTCGTGCCCGTTTTCTGCGCGAAGTCGCGTGCAGCCGCGCATTGTGAAACAAAGTATCAACGTCGACAGACAAATGGAGGTGGACCTACATTCGCATACGCCGGCCGCCGAGAATTGCGTCCTGGCCTAGAACGTCCCAATAAATTGTCTCAGGAATTCGTCAGGGTCGACTCTCTTTCCAGCGCTAATTCATTCTATGTTATGTGAGACGTTTTTGTGGTAGTGACGTAAGTTACATTTATAAAATAAAAAAGATAAATTTGAGATGGTTGATTCGTAACATTGCGTTCTGGAGTAAGAAGATGAACGTAATATTTTCTTATTTCTTCGCAAATAAATAAATAAAAAAAAAGGAAAAATATTTAGCGGCATATTTTCACGTCGAAAAAAAAATATTTCGTATAATAAATTTATGGCAGGAACAAATGGGACAGAAGATAATTCAGGGCACACGTTGTAAATTGTGATCTTTATTACAAGAAATTACATGACTAATTTGTACATATAAAATATAAATATAATACAAGTACTATGATACAGAGACGCGTGTTTTCCAATGGAAAGTGGAAGTAGATCGCTAGTTACAATTAATAATTACTATCACTATAATTCGTTATTATTACTGTTGTATTCACGGCAGATGGACTGACAATGCTCTTGGCAATGCTTACAACTCAGGCTGAATTCAGACACGCGACGATAAATGAATAAACGTTACGTACACGAATTTTAATGTTTTACGATGAACTGTAAGGATGACTTCTGATATTCGAGAAGATGGAAGTGATTTGTTTTTTAATTCTTGCTAGATATAATTCTTGTTAAAATGATGCTAATGAAATGCTACATTTTTAATTATATATAATTATTGTAGTCGATCGCGCGCGACAGTTCGAGTAATCGATTAGCACGGAAACTCGTCAATTGATCCTCCCGCGACAAACAATCATCCGTTCAACTATTGTTGATCAATTGACGATATAGTATCAATATATCATTCATCAGGGTATTTATTCTCAACAGAAGGAATAAAGCAATGACGACGGTTTCGGTGGCAAACTCACGTCTTTGGTCATCGATGAGTGAGACACGGAGAAACGAGCATACAGGATCTTTTTAATTAGCTTCACTCAATCTCCTTATTTTCCATCCGTGGAATACAAATTTGCCAATTAGCAATGTGACATCATTCCACATGTCCGTGACGTTCGTGCCTTCGGTCCGCATTTATATTTCGTGTTCAACGCTAATATATGCGGCTAGTAAATTTACAATCCATAACAATATATGGGTTCTCTCTCTCTTTCTCTCGTGATTTTTATTCTCAAAATTATAATATTAAAGATACTAACAAAAACCCAATATCAGATGCCTGCATTAATGCTGAATACGGAATGTAAATACGGACCTGCGTGTACGTGTGATTAGTCGTGTGTGTTGCTCATACAGTTTTTTTATTATTGTGTGTATGTGTATGTGTGTGCACGCGTGCTCGTGCGCGCGCGCTTATATATTCATATACATATACGTGTGTATCATGCATAAACGAACCTCAAGGTATAACAGTTCGGGACGATAAAAATGGGTGGTTTTCCATCGATATTGGCCGTCAGTCCACCACGGCTCGCATCAGAACTATACCTCTATTTCTGCTTCTCTCTCTCGCATTACGCCTATACCGATTTATTTTCATCCCATCTATTTTCATTCTCCCCCGGCCTCATCCCCGCCCCGTGCTTATATCCTATCCGCGTCTTCTCTTCGCGTAACATTCTCATGTTGGAAACGGAGAGATTTCGGAAGATGCTTGTTCCTCGCTCCCTTCTCCCTCCTCCTTTCTCTTCGTCAAGTTTCAATACCCGCACGAGCATCTCTTACGATTAGCGAAAGTTTGCAATTTATACTTACTCTCATTTCTTTTCTTTCTTCTTTTCTTCCATTCATTCTCTCTGTCTCTCTGTCTGTCTGTCTGTCTCTCTCTCTCTCTCTCTCTCTCTCTCTCCTTCTTTCACTCTTTCTGTCTTGTTTACTAATTTCTTGGTTTTGATGATTGCTCTAGGAATAAACTTCTTGGAAAAAACTGGTCTTGAAACTTGTTTCTGACGATACAAAATAAATGTTTATTGTAACAAAGTAGGATGTGCAAAAATGGCTATTTTTGACCCTGAACGGACATTTTTTAAATAAAATTAAATATATAAATTTATCATTTTGAAAGTCCAAACATTCATGAAAAAAAGGTTATTTACCCAGGAAAGCCTCAAAAAACCTTCCAAAAATAATAAAGTAGGCTGTTTGAACGCTTTGCAAAACAACTCATTTAACACATTTAACACATGTTGGATCATTAAATATTGCAAGAGTGCACTATCAGGAAGATCCACAAATATATAGAGTAAAGTAGCGTAATTTGGTCAACTTTTTTTTTAACAACTCTGAAACTCGTATTTTTTCGAATTTCATGAAATCAAATAAACCGTTGGAAAGGTAAAAACCTAGCGCAACTTTTTCTCGAATATACCTATCTTCTATTTCATCGCAAAAAAATATGATCATTTTTCCGAAACACAAAAAATCAAGATTTTTTTTTATAACGTAATTTGGTCAACCGTATAAATCCTAAAAATTCTTAAAAAATATATTATAAAATAAAGCCAAAACAGCATATTTTGAAATTTTAATTATTTTTTAATTAATTTCATTGAAAAAAACATCAAAAAACACACGAACATTGAAATTAATTTTCCATCTGCGAGTACTCAGAATCGCAATGTACGCAGATGTAATAACCGGCTGTCATGTATGGGCATTTCATACAAATGATGCAGAAGTCTTCTTCTTCCGAGTCAGAAGATGATGATGGTGCACCGCCCGTACAAAGTGATTGAATTTTTATTAAAAGATCGTCGTCGCTGATTGTTGAAAAATCGACGATCTACTTATCAAGCTGCAAATCATATCGATTCAAACTTGTTCTATGAATATCGTATGACAAAGCAACGCTTCGTATCGATTTCTTCCCCAATTTTATTTCTTTAATAGCATTAAACAATGCAGTGAGATCTTTTGCTGGACGATCAGTTTTTCTCGTTTACGAAATCCCATT